CCCGCCCTTCCTGGCAGCAGTCTGTCGGGCCCGGGTCCTTCCATTCCACAGTGGGGCTGGGGTTCCAGACGCATGTCCTCCCAACGCCTGGCATTTCCCAGCTACTTAGCGTCTGGTGCCCACACCTGCCCTTGGTGCGTTTTCTTTGTGCCCTTCTGTGCTGGTGGCAGGGGATAGGGGGACAGGGACCCCTGGTTTCCTTGATGAGCTGAGTTGCCAGGTCAGGTCAGGTCGGGGCTTCCAACCCCAGAAAGCCTGCAGCGCACACGGGAGGCTGCGGGACCTTCGCCACCCCAGCCAGGGCTGGGCTTGGGGGCAGTGTTTCCATGTGGCCTCATTTTGGGTGGCCGGAGTCGGGACCACAGGGCAGCAGGCGCCTCCACCCTGGGCCCGGTGGCTGGCCTGGGGCACTGGGGCACTGACGGTGCTGTCCTCCCGCAGGTGCTGAACGAGGCAGTGGGCGCGCTCATGTATCACACCATCACGCTGACCCGCGAGGACCTGGAGAAGTTCAAAGCCCTCCGGATAATCGTCCGGATCGGCAGTGGCTTCGACAACATTGACATCAAGTCAGCCGGGGACTTAGGTAGGACGTCCCCTTCTCCATGCGGCGTCCTGGTGTGTCCCTGGCGCGACTTTGCCTCGTTCCTGTTGTAGTTGGTCCGCTTTGCAGTCGGCATCCTGCCACTGCCTCTGGCGTGGCTGACGGTGACCCAGGAGCTGGCACCGTGGGGCCGCAGCGTCGGGCCCCACGGTTCCCTTGCAGGCCACGGTCACGGCAGCCTTCCTCAGCCTGGCCGGGCATGTGTCCTGGCGGTGGGCAGCCAGCACTCCAGCCTCGGCTTCCCACACTCCCGGGGCCCAGGGAAGGAAGGGACGTCAGCTCCAGCCGGCGGCTAGCACATCCTTGGGTTTCACACGGCCCTGCCCAGCAGGCACAGTGGAGAGGCCGTGTGTTGTGACTTAGGACGTGCTTGAGTGTGCACACGTGACTACGTACATATACACGTGTACATGTGCACACGTGTGACGCACTGAAGCAGTGTCACACAGCCAGCTGTACCGTGCTAGGCATCTGCTGTCTCCTCGGTGCTGTGCCGCCTCTCCCCAGCCCAGGAGGCGAGGCCACGCCCGGGCCGGCTGCAGCGGTGGCTGGGGTCTCTCGCCTGGCGTTGGCCCCCCGCGCGCTTGGGGAACGAGGTCAGAGCAGCCGAGGGTTTGACCTCACGTCCTGGGGCCGCTGTTGCCATGCGATCCCCTCGTGCCCACTGCGGACACGGTCCTGGGTAGTGCCTCCAGGAAGGCCCTGCGGTGTGGGGCTGCGGCCCGGACACTGGCCGAGCCGGGCGTCCTCAGGGCCTCGTGCCTGTGCAGAGTCTGCCCGTTTCACCACGTCACAGGCTGGGCTCTGTCCTGCAGCCAGGGACAGTCTGGGGCCCCACGCGGTCATCCCCTCGGCCCTGGCAGGTGGGGCCGCGGAAGTCCCAGGGACCTGTCCTGCCCTCTCAGTGGGCAGCAGCTTGGTTCCTGTTGGGTCTCCCTGTGCCCCCCCATCCTGCCTTTCACAGGGAGCCGGGGTGCAGCCCTTCCTGGGTCCTCATGCAGCAGTTTGTGTGCCAGGCCCCAGCCTGGCCACCAGGTGCCTCCTCCTCATTGCAGAGACAGTCATGCAGGTGTCGGGGACAAGGGTGAAAGGGGCCAGGGCTCAGAAGGAAGGGGGGGCGCAGGTTCCTTGGGGCAGGAGCCCAGGGGCAGCGTCAGCTCAGGGTGGGAGCCAACCCGTGTGCGCCAGGGCTGCACAGAGAACTGGGGACCAAGGCTCGGCCTGGAGAAGCCTGAGCTGGCTCCCTTTCCAGGGTCACTCTATTGCTGGGTGACCTCTGCTGAGGGGACCGGGCAGGGGCTGGGAGGATGGGGGGTATGGGAGCGTGGGGAGTGGGAGGAGGGCCATGAGGAGCTTTGGGGGGATGGGAAGATGGGGGCCACCATTGGCCTGGGGAGCCCAGGAAGACAATAGAGACAGACCTGTAGGTGTGGGTGACTGTGGGGCTGGCTCCGGATTCTATCCTGACCACGACCCCTTCCTGGAAGGTTGAGGGGCAGATGGTCCAGCGAGGGCAGAACCAGGTATGACATCTGCCCAGGTGGCCGGTCGTCCTGTCCCCTCCCTGTCTACCCAGTGGGCCTGTGAGCAGCTTTTCCACATGGCCTGGAGCACGTACCTACGCTTGTCTTGTAGTCTACTGGTGGCCTGGGGACATGTCCTCGGCCTTTCACAGTGGAGCAGCAGGGTGCCGTGGTGACCGCCAGGCGTGTCTTGTGTCCCCAGGCATCGCTGTCTGCAATGTGCCGGCGGCGTCCGTGGAGGAGACGGCCGACTCCACCATGTGCCACATCCTCAACCTGTACCGCAGGACCACCTGGCTGCACCAGGCGCTGCGGGAGGGCACGCGGGTCCAGAGCGTCGAGCAGATCCGGGAGGTGGCTTCCGGAGCAGCCAGGATCCGTGGGGAAACTTTGGGCATCATCGGACTAGGTGAGTTAGCTCTGCCTTTACCTTCCGTGATGAGGGCACCTCCGACCCAGGGACAGCGTGGGGTGGAGGGGACTCAGCCACAGAGGCTGTGCTGGCCTCCATGTGCTCAGGAGCACCAGGCAGGCCACACGCACAGACGTCACACAGGTGCCTACAGGTCACGCACATGCCCACACACATGGTCCACCCTGCTGTCCTCCCCCGCCTGTGGCGATGACTGAGTGGATATGGCCTTTAGGTGAGGGCCAGGTGGCCCTGGGGTCCCTTTCCCATTTTGCCCATCAGGGCTTGTCACCAGCAGCTGCCATGGGTAGAGGAAAGTGCCCACCCCCTGCCACACAGTCCTTCCTTCATGCACCCACTGGCTCAGTGGCAGGTGGCTGTCCAGGGTCCAGCACACACACGGAGCAGGCCTGACCACAGTCCCACCCCAAGTACTGTCCCCTCGTGCCTTGTGTCCACTGAGCATCCATCTGTGCTTCCTGCAGGCTGCCCCCAGCCCCCGCTCAGCCGGCTGGGGGTCCTGTGGCTACTGACTTGGTGGCCCCACGCTCAGTATTAGGGGACAGAAGCCCTGGAGCCCAGAGTCTGCTCCCACTCTGAGTGTGTGCCTAGGCAGCGAGGGGCCCTGGCCGAGGTGACGCCAGTCTCCCATAGGTCGCGTGGGGCAGGCGGTGGCGCTGAGGGCCAAGGCCTTTGGCTTCAACGTGCTCTTCTATGACCCCTACCTGTCGGACGGCACGGAGCGGGCGCTGGGGCTGCAGAGGGTGAGCACCCTGCAGGACCTGCTGTTCCACAGTGACTGCGTGACCCTGCACTGTGGCCTCAACGAGCACAACCACCACCTCATCAACGACTTCACCGTCAAGCAGGTGGGGCCCGGGGTCAGAGGTTGTGGCCCGGGCGGCGGGGTGCCCGCTCTGGCCAGCACAAGGCACACTTGGTGAGACAGGAGGGCTCTGCTGGCTGTCTCTCCTCAACCAAGGTCCCCCCTGGTCCCAGGGCTGTGTCTGGGGCCTGGGCCAGCTCCCTTCCCCTCCCGTGGCCGAGCTCCTGGTCCTGCTCAGAAGCCAGCCGCACAGACTGCTTTGGACTGTCCCCCAGAAGCTCCTAGGCTGTGTGCCTGTGGCAAAGGCAGAGCCGCTCAGCTTCAAGTTCCCAGCAAATGGGATGGACACAGTGACCGAGGGCCTTTGGGTTGCCCTAGGGTTGAGGTTTACATCACAGCCGAGGTGCTGGCACTGGGCAGCTGGCATGGGGCTTGCAGCACACACGCTCACCCATGTTTCCTGAGCTGCCCTGTGTCCCGCAGGAGCTGGAACCAGGGCCACTTCCCACAGTGGTGGAGTGGGGCCCACACAGGCCCTGCGCCCTCAGCCAGACCAGGGGAACCAGGACCATGAGGCCTTCCCTGGCAGAGCCTGCAGCCTGGGAGGCCTGGCTGGGAAGTGCCCGCGTATGCCATCCCTGCTGCCCTCCTCCAGCCAGGGGACAGCAGGAGGCATGTGTTGACGGGCTCTTGGTGTTGTTTGGTATCTTCCAGATGAGACAAGGGGCCTTTCTGGTGAACACAGCCCGGGGTGGCCTGGTGGATGAGAAGGCGCTGGCCCAGGCCCTGAAGGAGGGGCGGATACGCGGTGCAGCCCTGGACGTGCACGAGTCAGAACCCTTTAGGTGACTCCTGGCAGTGCTTTGGGGGTCCCGAGACAGCACCTCTCCCTGGCCAGGCTCTCACTCACCCAGGCTCACGCCCCGCCCACCAGCCAGCATCAGCACCCAGGAAGTGAGGCCCCAGTGCCCACATGCATGTCCAGGCTGCAGCCTCCAGCAGCTGACCATCCAAGGGCAGGGCGTAATTGGGCTCCGTGTCCAGCCCATGATCCTGCTCCAGGACCTTCCCCCAGGGCCTGGCCAAGTCTCAACAGGCAGGTGGCCAGCATGTGGGCCAGGACAACTCAGTGCCCTGTACCTGCTGGAGAGGGGGCAGGGCTCAGATATGCGCTTCATGCCCAGTGCCCAGGGCACCATGTTGATGGGTTGCCAGGTATGCAAGGCTGTTGGCCCCCATGTGGTAGTGTCCAGAGGCCCCACAGCTGAGAAACTAGTCTGGGGCAGGAGGCCAGGCCTGGTGGGTCTTCCACCTGGAAATGGTGGTGACAGGAGGGCCTGGGGTCTGAGAGTGGAAGCTCCCGGGGCCAGGGCCCCCTGCAGGGGTGGCCATGGCAGCGTTCCCTCCAGGTGAGGCCCCTCCCGCTGCTGTCAGGAGCCGTGGGCAGGGGTGACCATCCTGGGGCCCCACTGGGTCTGACGGAGGGGTGGGTGCCTGGGCATGGCACTGACCTGCAGTGTGCTGTCCTAGCTTCAGCCAGGGCCCCCTGAAGGATGCCCCCAACCTGATCTGCACCCCCCACGCGGCCTGGTATAGTGAGCAGGCGTCCATCGAGATGCGCGAGGAGGCGGCCCGGGAGATCCGGAGAGCCATCACAGGTGGGCGGGGTGGGCGCCAGCAGGCCCAGGGCCCCTCTGAGGCTTTCAGAGGTGAGCACCCACCAAGTGGCGGGGGGCACCCCCACCTCTCACTCACTCAGCCAGGTCCGGCCTGGGCTGGCCCTGGGCTGGGAGGAGAGACCCACCCTGGGCGAAGGTCATGGCCGAGGCTGAGGAGGTCGGCCCTGGTCTCCTCTGGTCCAGCATGTGCGGCTCAGGCCCCTCTCTTATGTCCTGTTTATGACCCTCGTTTGCTGTCATGCACCAGGGGCTTCAGCTTGTGTGACACTCATAAACCTGGCCTGGGCCCCGTTGCTGCTCTCTGAAGTCCCCAGGCCTAGCAGATGGGGTGGGGGCACCAGCAAGCTGAGGGCACCGAGCTGTGAGGGTGACTCTGCCAGACCGGCGGGACCCTGTGTCCTCGACTGAGCCACCACACTCCTGGGGTCCCCTCAGTGGCAGCTGTTTAACACGGATGCTGTCCTTGCCGTGTCCCCTGCATCAACAGGCCGGATTCCCGACAGCCTGAAGAACTGTGTCAACAAGGACCACCTGACAGCTGCCACCCACTGGGCCAGCATGGACCCAGCTGTTGTGCACCCTGAGCTCAATGGGGCCGCCTACAGGTGAGTGGGCAGGTGGGGACAGCGGGCCAGGGGGACATGGGAAGTCCCCATGATGACTCTGGGTGGGACCGAGGCCCAGCCAGGGGCTCTGGATGTTTGTGCTCCCATGGGCCCCAGAGAACACAGAAGGTCCAGGTCTGGGTAGGGGTGGCCTTCAGGCCTGGTGGAAAGGAGACCCTCTGGGTGGAGGCCATCCTGGGAGCAGGGGCCTGGCTGTGGTGGGGGGAGGCCAGAGCGGGGCCCTCTCAGCAGGCAGCCTTGGGGAGCAGCTCCCTGCCCTGCCACTGGTCTCATGAGTCCTCCCTCTTCCCAGCAGGTACCCCCCAGGTGTGGTGGGTGTGGCTCCCAGCGGCATCCCGGCCGCAGTTGAAGGCATTGTCCCCAGCGCCATGTCCCTGTCCCATGGCCTGCCCCCAGTGTCCCACCCGCCCCACGCCCCTTCTCCTGGCCAAACCGTCAAGCCCGAGGCGGATAGAGACCATCCGAGTGACCAGTTGTAGCGTGGAGGGGGAGCTCTGCAGCCTCGGTGCCAGCACCCGGCCTTGGGCAGGCGCCTGCGGAGGAGGCGCCCTTGGGTGGCGGCGGCGCTCCAGAGACTGTCCAGGCGGCGGCCGCGGTGGCGCCGGCCTCCCCCCGTTGACTAGTCCCGTCCTGAGGGCCCGCGCTGCCCGTGTTCCCTGCGTCCTGGTTAAGCAAGAGAAGTTAGTAGTTGTTCTATCACGAATGTCCCGTCTGTGTGCAGCCTTTAGAACGTCGCCAAGGATTTGTTTGCTTAGCTGTCAACACCCAGCCCCGAGGCGGCCAGGCCGCTCAGCCCCCTGCCCAGCGGAGCAGGCCCAGTGGGCCGCTGGCGAACTTCTCAGGACTACGAATCCTTCCCGTTTTTCTTTTACGCCACACAGTGCATTGTTTTTTCTACCTGCTTGTCTTATTTTTAGAATAATTTAGAAAAACAAAACAGGCTGTTTTTCCTAATTTTGGCATGACCCCCCCTGTTCCAAATGACGGCACCGCGCGGCTGGGGAGGCGGGAGCGCTCGGCCGGGGCGCCGGGGGTGCCGTCCTGCTGATGTGGTAGGCTAGCAATATTTTGGTTAAAATCATGTTTGTGACTGTAACCATTTGTATGAATTATTTTAAAGAAATAAAAGTCCCAGAAAGAGCCGGCACACCCAGCCTCTGTTTCAGTGGCTTTCTCTCACGGGACCCTGGTGGGACCCAGGGCTGGAGCAGGCAGCCCTGGGGACGCGGGCAGCGGCCGTGGTCCCCACGCTCGCGTGGGATGAGGGAGGGAGGGAGGGGAGCCACTGCTGCCTGGGAGCCGGAGTGGTCTGAGCACCAGCCGGGGCCAGCGCGGCGGCCGCCTGCTCAGTGCTGCTCCCTCGGACTGCCCGTGACCCGGGCGAGCAGAGGCCCCGGTTCCACGACAGACGCACAGCGCAAGGCGAGCTCGGCTGTTTTCCGCTAACCACGGCAGATGGTTCCACGGCTCCCCCAGAAACCGCGTGTGTGCCGAGCAGAGCCGTGCATGTGGGAGCACCCCGACCCCTCTGAGCCCCTCCCTGTACCCCATGACCTCAGGAGGCCCATGAGTTCCCACGCGTGGCCTGCACCCCGCCCCGTTCCTGTCCTCTGCCCTCCTGTGGACCGGCATGGCCTTGACTCCGGGCCGTGCTCACTCATCCATCCACCAGACAGGGCCACGGCCAGCCCGCGCCCTCCGGGCCTGGCGTTTCCCTCCCAGCTCCCCGCCATGGCTGTGGTGCCTGGGGTCACCTCTTGGGTTCTGCTCCCTTGTCTGTGCCTCCGGGCGCATCCTTTAGTGGTCTTTCCAGTGTTCTGCTGGGGGAAGAGTTTGTGGGAAGTTTATGGGGAAATGTCTTGGTTTCGCCCACACACTTGGTTAGCTGTTGGCTGGGCCCAGAATTCCAGGTTAGGAGCTGTTTTGTCCCCACTCCACACATGCCTTCTGTCATTTCTCAGTCTCGGGCCTGCTCACGTCCCTTTGAGGTCCCTTCTGTGGCTGTTCCCAGACCCCTGGGCTCTGCGTCTGTCCTGTCGCTGGAGCTGGTGGCTGCAGGTGGGCCTGTTTCCAGTTACTCCCAGAACTCGTTGGACTTCGTGAGCCCGTGGATTTGTGTCTTCACACGGTTCTGGAGAGTCCTCGGCCTCTGTCCTCACTTGTTTCCCTTGTCCCCCCTTGGCAGTGCTGATGACAGAAAATAGCTGAAGTGATCAACCTCGGAGAAACGTGAGAGACTGAGGGACAAGTAGAAGAGAGTAAAGGCTGAAATTACGATAAATTTATACGTCTGAAGCAACCAGAAAAGGAATGGCAAAATGAAATGTAAAATCACAGAGGGACAGAAGTAGTGTCTAAGAGTAGAACTGGCAAGAAAACAAACGGGAGAGGGTCTGCCAAGTGAACAGCTGGTTCTTTGAAAAAGTGAATTTAAAAAACTGACATAAATGGAGAAAAGAAGTACACCCACTATCAGGACTGAAGAGGCTGCCGCTGCAGCCCCCAAGGTCACTGAGGGACAGGAGAGGGCAAACAGGTGACAATTTGGAGGAACCCCACATGCCAAGGTGACCCAAAACGTAAAAGGTCAGAATGGCTCTACAGCTTTATAATTCTTTTATTTTTTATTTTATTGATTTCAGAGAGAGAAAAGGAGAAGGAGAGAGGGAGTTGAAACATCAATGATGAGAGTTATTGATCGGCTGCCTCCGGCACACCCCTGGCCGGGGATCGAACCACCATCTCCTGGATCAAAGGTCGACACTCAACTGCTGAGCCATGCCCGGCCGCTCTCTACAGCTTTAAAGAAACAACCCAAAAAACACTCCCTTAAAGAAAATCCCAAATCCAGAAGGCTTCAGTGGTGGATCTTAATAGATATTCAAAGAAGAAATGACTCATGTCACACAAACTTCCAGAGGCTACAACTCACATTGTGAGGTTACGTTAACCCTGATTCCAGATCCTTTGAAATAAAAAGGCTGCCCAGAGTCCCCTGCAGGACGTGCTAGACGGGCAAACGCCCTCTGCAAATCGCAGCCTGCAGCGCGACCACGTCCACCCCACATCTCCTGGGGACCAAGGCATTCATTCCGTAGCCACTAGAGGTGCTGGGTACTGATGGCTCCCATGGGTGCTCTCTGGGCACTGGCCTCAGCCAAGCAGAGCTGACTCCTGGGGAAGCCAGCACGCAGCATGGAGCTAATACTGTGGTACAAAGATCTGGCCCCTTGACTGACAGTCTGGAAAGTCTGACCCAGCTCAGAGGCCCCTCTGCCCAGTGATGCTCCCTTGGGACCTCAGAGGGTGCTGCTGAGGTTGCTCTGTCGTGAACCGACTGCACTAACACCCATCTTAGAGTCCATTTCCCAGGGAGCCCAACCGAGACAGCCTAAACCCAGCGTTTCCACTCCTAGGTATATTCCCAACAAATAGGCAGACGTCCAGTGAGTGAAAAACGTGTACAGGCGTGTGTGTTTTTTCATTTTTATTATTTTTTAAACTATGTTTTTATTGATTTTTCAAGAGAGAGAGAGATTAATCGGTTGCCTCCCATATGCACCCTAACTAGGGACAGAACCCACAACTGGGGCATATACCCCGACCAGGAATTGTACCGGTGACTTTTCGGTGCATGGGACAATGCCCAACCAACTGAGCCACACCAGCCAGGGCTCATTTTTAAATCATTTTATTTTGCCCTGGCCAGTGTTGCTCAGTGGTTGGAGCGTTGGCCTGCATACGAAAGGGTCTCAGGTTTGAGTCCAGGTCAAGGGCACATACCTGGGTTGCAGGTTTGATCCCCGGCCTGGTCAAGGCCCGTGCTAGAGGCAACCAATGTCTCTCTCTCTCACCCCTCTCACTCTCTCTGAAAATCAATGGAAAACATTCTCAGGCGAGGATTAACAAAAAAATATATATCATTTTTATTTTTCAATTACAGCTGACCAACATTATTATATTAGTTTCAGGTGTACACCCCAGTGATTAGACATTATATAACTTACTAAGTGACCATCCCGAATAAATCTAGTAGCCATCTAGTACCCATCTGACACCATAGTTATCACACAGCTATTACAATATTATTGACTATATTCCCTGTGCTAGATTTTACATCCCCAGGACTATTCTGTAATGACCAATATGTACTCAATCCCCTCATCCCTACCCCCCGCCCCCAACTGCCCTCCCATGTGGCAACCATCAAAATGTTCTCTGTATCTATGAGTCTGTTTCTGTTCTGCTTGGTTCATTTTTGTTCTGTTTTTTAAATTAATAGATATGTATTTATTGCCATTTTATTCATATTTTTATCTTTTTTCTTTTTCTTAAAGAAGACCCTTCCACATTTCCTGTAGTGCTGGTCTGGTGGTGATGAATTCCTTTAGCTTTTTCTTATATGTGAAGCTGTTTATCTGACCTTCAATTCTAAATGATAGCTTTGCTGGGTAGAGCAATCTTGGTTGTAGTTCCATGCTTTTCATCACTTTGAATATTTCTTGCCACTCCCTTCTGGCCTTCAAGGTTTCTGTTGAGGAATCAGCTGACAGTCTTATGGGAGCTCCCTTGTTGGTAACTAACTGCTTTTCTCTTGCTGCTTTTAAGATTCTCTCTGTCTTTAACCTTTGGCATTTTCATTATGATGTGTCTTGCTGTGGGCCTCTTTGGGCTCCTCTTGTTTGGGACTCTTTGTGCTGCCTGGACTTGTAAGTCTATTTCTTTCCCCAGGTAGGGGAAGTTTTCTGTCATTATTTTTTCAAATAGGTTTTCAATTTCTTGCTCTCTCTCTTCTCCTTCCAGCATCCCCATGATGTGAATGTTGGTGTGTTGAAGTTGTCCCAGAGGCTCCTCACACTATTTTCATTTGGGGGATATTTTCCTTGTTGCTCTTCTGATTGGGCGTTTCTGCCTCCTCATGTTCCAAGTCACTGATTTGATTCTCGGCCTTATCTACTCTCCTTTGACTTCCTGTAAAGTATTTTTCACTTCAGTTACTGTAGCTTTCATTTCTGACTGGTTACTTTTTATGGTTTCCATGTCATTTTTTATGCTGTTGAGGGTCTCATTAAGTTCCTTGAGCATCCCTGAAACCAGTCCTTTGAACTCTGTACCTAGTAGGTTGTCTCTGTTTTTAGTTCTTTCTCTGGGGTTTTGTTCTGTTGTTTCATTTGGGACGTGTGTGTGTCCTCATTTTGGCAGCCTCCCTGTGTTTGTTTTTATATGCTAGGTAGAGCTGCTATGTGTCCCAGGCTTGGTAGCATGACCCAATGTAGTGGGTGCCCTGCAGGGTCCAGTGGCACAACCTCCCTGATCCCGAGCTGGGCATTCCAGGTGTGCCCCCTGTGTGGGCTGTGTACACCCTCCTCTTGTAGCTGAGCCTTAATTGCTGTTGGCACATCAATGGGAGGGATTTTCCCTCAGGCCGATCAGCTGCAAGGACTGGCTGCGACGACTGACCACTGACCTCTGACCACTGTGGAGGATCAGCTGTGCAAGGGTCCACCCCACAGAGCAGGACTTACTTCAGTGGGGCTCTGGTGCTCGCTGAGTCCACCCCTTGGGAGTGTTACTTGTGGAGGTGGTTTGGTGGTGTTGCTTCGACACGGTCTGAGGCTGTCCACTGGGTACGCTGGCTCTGGGGCCTCTTGGGAGGTGCAGGCCAAGGCCAGCCACCACCTGTCTTCTGTCTGGGGCCACCTGACACGAGCTACAAAACGATCTACAGATGGCTGCTACTTGTGCCGGGCTTGGAGGTGCCCAGGTAAGGCCAAACTGAGAACCAAGGCAGACTGCACTAGCGCCAGGCCTGGGGCCACTTAGTGAGAGGTATGGTGCTTGCTGAGGCCAGATGCTGCTCATTTGAGATTTTAGGAAAATCTGAAGCCTGAGCCAAGATAGGCCATTCTTACGGTAAAGCCACTGAAAGCAGCTTGGATGGGCCTGCAAGTTGGGTAGGGCGGGGCCTCAGGAAATCACTAGGGCAGGGTGAACAGCATTAGCCAGGTTGATGGAGACTGACATCTGGTACCCCGCCTCCTGGCTCTGCTGGAGGAACAGTTCATCAAAGGAACTGTGGCCTCTGCCAGCATTTCTGTCTAGGAGAAAGCTGCCTTGAGCTCTTGACCTGATGCCGGACAATTCATTTCCTCC